ATCTCAGTCCACAGAAAATGAGATATTTGCATGAAATATTAAAGGATACTTCTCAAATAGAAATACTTGTTGACACATAGGAAGCAATACAATTAAACATAAATGCAATATTTTTTCCTACTCAGAATTTTCTTTCAGCATCATCGATGGCATGTTAAAAACACAAAAAGACTTAACAACCTCAGATATACTGAGTGTGAATCTGTACTACAGGAAGTTGACAAATGATCTCTCTAAGGTTTAGGAAAGTTGCATTTAGATGAATATCAATGGTAGGGGGATGCTTTTTACCCCTCAGCCTATTTAACATCATTTCTATGTAAACCAGATCTCTCTCTTTCTATTTCTCTCTCATTCTTTCTTTGTCTCTCACACAGACAAATACACACACAGAAACACACACGCATACACAGAATCTGTATCAGTTCTTTACTAGGACAAAAGTTATTGGCATAAGCTCTGAACAAAGAACAGTTTTATTTAACTCATAGTTTTAGAGACAAAATGACCTACATGCTGTATCCTGATCTGTCTGTAATCAGGTGAGGCCTGTCCTGTCTGTGGAACAATATGGTGAGTTAATAAAGAGATAATTAACTGCAGGTTGAAGTGGCCAATTATATGGTTGTATTTATTTTCTAATAAGCAACTCTTACAGGAACAGATTCACTCCATGAGAGTAGATTTAACCATCCTCAGTGCAAGATTTCCAATGACCTAATCATTTCCCACAAGGCACCTCTTCCAAAGGCCAAATTGGTGTATTGGAGCAGCAAAACAAACTTCCTTCTTCAGGTGCTCCTTCTTCATGTGCTCCTTCTTCAAAGATGATGATCTGTCTCACAATAGGACCAGGGTATTTGGATACACAAAGTAGAGACTAGTTAATTTGATTGGAACTGCAGACAGTTAAATATTTTATATTAATATAAGGTCATAAGAACTATGTATATATGCCTATATATATTTATATACTTAATTATCCTGAAATATACCAAGGGGATTCAACCCAACATATTCGTGTATGAGTGCAATGCATCTTGAATGAATTCACCTTTCCATTATACTTCAGAGAGGATTTTTAAAAAGTCCTTTGATTAATTTGCTTTATAAATATAGTATGGGACAATGACAGGATACTATTGCACTTAAAATTGAATATATATTCACACTTTCTACCCTTATCTTTTCATTTATAAAGACCATTTGGACACTACTTGTACGAGAAAATTTGCTCTCCTTGTCAATTCTTTACCCTAAGTCTTCCATAGAAAGTTCCTTTGGAAACAGACTTTATAACACTTGTGCCTAAGATCCCTGAACAGATCATCTAGTAAATATGGATATCTGATGCCTCTTCATCTACTTAACTCTCTGCTCTTTGTGGTCAATTCCATTGAGCATCTCTGAGGCTGCAGGGTGCTGTGCCTTAGCCTAGACTAGCTGAGGAGTTTCATGGAAGCTAAGGCATGGTATTTATTTGTTTCCTAGAGATGATCCTAGACTTAAGCCTGCATATCATTGGGTCCCTGATGCTGTTTTATGGGTGTGAGAGCATGTGTACCCTATACTTCCTGCAGAAAAGTACTTTCACAGTGGGATCTTTCTTCCCACTACTGCAGCCATAATGTAATTCTATTGGTTATCACCAAACACAGAACACATCTGATGTCATTTTTCTCAGAAGAGCAGGACTTACCAACCCCTTGGCTGTTCTCACACTGTTACACCCACCTGGCTATTTGCATACTGCTCCCTAAGGAAGACCTCCCTTTCTAAGTCTGAGATAAAGGCTTAGCTCTGAACTTGTCTTGAACTGTCTAGACTCCTCATTTCACTCCTAAAAATGAAGTTCTTCTCTCAGCTGCTGGGGCTGTTAATGCTCTGGATCTCTGGTAAGGGTAAAGGGAAGCGAGAAATGACAGTGGGTGGGAAGATGGGCTCTCAGAATCCAGTTGTACCCCATCCATGTTTTATACATGCAGATCTTGTTATCCATGATGGGACAAGTGAGGTATAGGTCTTAGAGAGTGAGAAACGTTCCAGAAAGAGCTAGAACCTGTGCTCGGGTGAAGACTCTGCTAGGAAGGAAAATTGTCAGTGACTCCTAGAGACTTATTGATGCTTTATAATAACTGTTCTTTTAATTTGTATTGTTTTACATTTTGAAACAAAGCATAAACTATGAATAAAATGCAATATATATGAGAATATAATGAATAAATGCATGTATTTCTATGTACATCAATATTCATTTCTGTCTTATTCTAATTTCAGGATCCAGTGGAGATGTTGTGCTGACCCAGTCTCCAAGTTCCCTGCCTGTCACCCTGGGAGAGCCAGTCTCCATCTCCTGCAGGTCTAGTCAGAACCTTTTGCACAGCAATGGAAGGACCTATCTGGACTGGTACCTGCAGAAACCAGGCCAGTCTCCACAAGTCCTGATCTATGAGGTTTCAAACAGATATTCTGGGGTCCCAGATAGATTGAGTGGCAGCGGGGCAATCACAGATTTCACATTGAAAATCAGCAGCGTGCAGTTTGAGGATGTTGGAGTTTATTACTGCTTGCAACGTACACATGTGCCTCCCACAGTGATACAGCCCTGAAGGAAAACCTCCCTTCTGACTGGGCATTGAGCTGTGCTCACACATTGCTGGTCTGGGGAGCAGCAGAGCAGATGGTCTGACTCTGCCCAGAAAGAAAGATAATATAATCAATGTGGGAGTGACTATGAATGGAGACAAAGAATGTGTGATAATGTGACAACATACAATCTACAAAGAACAGGAGAACAATCATGAAAACACACAAAAAAAACAGGAGATAACAGATAAATCGTGAAATATTTACTCAAAAAATATAGGTCTCTTAAGTAGTATTATAGCTAACCAGTAATAGAAGAATCAGCTTTCTTCTGTGATTTCACTCCCTTTATAATGAAACTTAAACTTCCATCAAAAGCTGGGCACCAATGGCTCATGCTTGTAATCCTAGCTATTCAGGAGACTGAGGTCTAAGGATCTGCCTGCCAGCCCAGGCAGAAAAGTCTATGAGACTCTTATCTCCAATAAGCCGCTAGAAAATCAGAAGTGGCATTGTGGTTCAAGCATTAGAGCTCTCACCTTGAGAGGAAGAGTGCAGGGACAGTGCCCAAGCCCAAAGTTCACACCTCACGACCAACAAAAACAAAACAAAAAAAACAAACTTCCATCAAGCCCACACCCACAGCACATGCTATGTTTTCTCTTCAGAAGAAGGAAACCCATTTGTACCTGAGTGTTCCCCAAAACTTACATGACTGACAAGCCCTAATCAAGGTTCAGGCACTGTTTCTTGCCTGTATCAATGTGAGACTGATACAGTACTGGAGCCTGCACAATGGTTTCAGGCCTTCTGTGTCCTGGGCTCTGTCTCTTGTGAAGACAGTGAGTGAAGTGTGGGGAAGCCCTGAAGGGTGTTCATATGTCCCAGAAGTCTGAGATTGAGCCCTTGTTCAATGTGCACAGCATTCACAGCCCTCCATAGTCAGTCTCTGTCATTTTATTTAAAGAAACCTGGCATGAGTGCATCATTAATATTTAAGTGTGTGTCTTGCATCCTTTTCTATTAATTTAAACATTTCTCATTTCATTGTAATGAGCCTTTCAGAGGCCTGGAATTATGACACTGCACAGCCCAAGAATTGGTGGATTCTCCAGTGATGTAAACTGCTTCATCACAAGCCTCTCAAATTCATCTGAAAAAAAATGGTGTAGATGCACTGAATTCACTGAAGTAACATGAATTGGAGAAATGCAAGTCTGGAATGCATGCTAACATGATTATCTTTAGCACTCTGTGTGCACACAGTTTCATTTTATGCTTGAAAATCATTCTAAGGCTGAGCTAGGAGAGCTTATGTATTCACCATTCAATCCTATAACTGAAGCCACTAAAGGGACAGAGGAAAGTATATTCATAGTGTTCAAAGTATTTCATAGTATATTTTCACAGGGTTTTTATAATTCATTAAATGTTTTAGGTTTCTATTATTCTGTCTTTTTCTAAATTAATTTTATTTTCAAGGTATGTAAGAAGGGATTAGTTACATATATAAGGTAATGAGTACATTTCTAGTGGAACATTGTTATTCTTATTCTTCCCTCACTTTTTCCCACTTTCTCTTCTCTCAAATCTCTCCCCCCCAAGTTGTGAAGATCATTTCCAACATACCTTCTTGCGTATCACTATTGGATTGCTTCACACTTTGTTCTTTGTCCCAAGATTTTGTTGTTCTCCTTTCCTTCCCCAATTGAGATAATGTAAGTACAAGACACAGTACCAAAATAAATATAGTGACAATAGGGGAAAAACCAAAGGAAAACAAAAATGAAAGAAAAAAGAAATAGCTTCACATAGGATATTAAAAACAAAAACAACAAAGAAAAACATCCTGTTTCCATATCTTGGAGTTCATTTGGTTTAGTGCCATCTTATATGGTATCATTTTTTCTATGTCTCCATACATCTATATATGCATCTATTATCTATCTATCCATCTATCTAGCTATCTATTATCAACATCTTATTTTATGCCATCTCTGTATAATAAGGTAATTGTGTTCATGATAACTAAACAAACAAGTCTATGAAAAAAATCAACTGATAAGTCAGGGAATCACTTAAAATAATTAGTTGTACATCTCTGGAACCATCTTTTTCAGAAAGATTGACTTTTATAAAAGGCTGTCATGAAAAGCATTTTGTGAACAACATGGAAATCACAATTCTAAAATCACAGGATATAAAGTCATTTGGTTCCCTGGATTCAAGGGACAACCATTTTCTGCTAGCACAGCTGTACTACTATTGCTAGGTAGACCTTACTGAAACCTGGACACATTATGGATTGTTTGCCACCTTACTATCCCCTGCTGATTTGCATGTGCCTAGAACACAACACAGTGCATTAGAACGACCCTGTGCAGCAGTCAGTACCAGCTGTATCAGTGAGCACACAGCATGGACATGAGGGCACCTGTTCAGCTCCTGGTACTCCTGCTGCTCTGGGTCCCAGGTAAAGGAAGACAATGCCTAGATTTCCTCAACACATGGTAAATTAGGCTTCTTCAAGGAAATCTTCCAATAAATGAATTATTATTGATTTTGTTTTTTCAGTATCAGGTACCAGATGTGACATCCAGATGACCCAGTGCCATCTCTGTCTGCATCTCTAGGAGAAAATGTCACTATCCCTTGGAGGGCCAGTCAGGGGATTAGCACTTAATTAAAACGGTTGTCAGCAAACACCAGGGAAACCTCCTGACCTCCTGATACTTAGAGAAACCAGGTGGCAATCTGAGGTCCCATCAAGGATCACTGGTAATAGATGTGGCTGGAGTTCACTCTCACCATAAGTAGCCTGCAGCCTGAATGTTGCAACTTATTACTGTCAACAACATGACTTTACTTCCCACAGTTAAACAAGTAATCACATAAAACTCCCAAAGGAACAGAAGTGTGTCTAGTATGATGAACATTCCACTAGAAGCCAGATGGGGAACAGGTCTCTCTGTATTTGGAATCTCATTAATACAGTATAGAACTTGTCCCTTTGCTCCAATATTTGTCTAGCCAAAGTCTAGAGCATATGCAAGTGACCTAAACATACTTTAATCTATGAATGCTTCCTGTTATTTATCCAAACCACATATTTATTTCTAACTTGTTATTTACTTTTTTAACAGTTTTTAATTTTTTAAAATTTTACTGTAAAGGTCATATAAAGAGAGGTTACAGTAACATGAATCAGATAATGAGTACATTTCCTTTTGAACAGTGTCTCTCCCCCCCTCATTATCACAGCTTTTTCCCTTCTAATTTCCCTCATGCCAAAGTTTTATACTTCATTTCCGACATGATGTCTAGTAGGTTTCAGTGCTAAATTGCTTCACTTTTTGTTCCACCATTTTTGTACTTCATCTTCCTCTCCCTAAATAAGGTAAACATATATATATATATATATATATATATATATATATATATACACGTTATATATATATGAAAAATTGTATAGAAATTAAAAGCAACAGAAGGAAATAAACGAAAAAAAAGGAAAGAAGAAAAGAAAGAAAAAGTGCAAGCAGTTCAATTAAAAAGCTCTATTTCCATGGCCTGGAGTTCATTTTGACAAGGATCATTCTATATGATCATATGCACACAGCTTTTGAGCCTTTGTGATCCTTTCCTAAGATATCCTCCTTTGTTCTCACTGTGTGGATGTTTAGATGACTGTTTAATTATTTCCAGGTGCATTCATCTCTCTTGTACGATCCATTGGGTTTCATGGTAGATTTATAGGCACATTCTAGCTATTAAAAATGAGTTGAAAACATGCAGTTTATGTTTCTTTGGTTCTGGATTCTTTTCTTAGTATTATGTTTCCTGGTGTTTCCATTTTCTTGTGAGTTAGGCAATATCATTCATTCTGATGGAAGCATAGAGTTCAAATGTGTATATAAATACTACATTTTCTTGTTCCATTCATCCACCGAGGGGCATCAGAATTTATGTATATGGTCCTGCTGGTGGCTTTAGTGTAACCTGGTTTTTGGTCATTTGAATAGATGAGATGATGTGAAAGAAAAGTGCAAATACAGTACATCTTGGAAAGGAGACAAAAATGGAGTTTTCCCAAGAATTGTCATTGTGAGACTGTGAATGGTCAGGATTGGGCATAGTAAGTGCAAGATTCTCACTAATATTCACCAAAATTTTCAGTAGTTAAACACATTAAACATTAACGAAACTCTTCCAACTGATACACCATGTGAAACATGATATGGTTGGTACCAGAATAGTTGATTACACAAATAAGGTATGCATTACTTCTTGTGTTACCTCATGCAAAATATTTAAGTCATTGGACAGGATGAGAACAGAGTGCAGGGTTCATGGCTTTGTCTTAGCCCCTTGTTTGAGTTTTAAAGTCATGTTTAAGTTCCTCTTCTTCAGTACATATCAGTTCCAGACATCAGAGCAGACTTCTGATATCTCTCTCAGTACAAGCACCACTGCAGAACCTTGAGTCACTACATGCTCAGGAGCCATCTTTGTCACTGCTACTCAGGTCAGCCAGACTATCCTGAACCAGCTCAAGTCCTGTCACTGACACTTCTAAGATTCCACTCTTCTCCCTAGTGGTAAAAGGTGAAACAGCAGCAGGTCTCAAGTTGTACAGGTGTTCATTTATTCCTATCATCAAAGGAATTATTTAATGTTATACAATGATAGTTATTATGAACATTCGCCAACAGTGAAGTCTTGAGTATATCAAAGAAAAACAATGATCGCACAGAATTTTCATTTTAATGAGACTGGCAGAAATCAAATGAACAAATACTGTTTCTATTTTTCTTTTTTCTCTTTTACTTTTATTATTATTTTTTATTGTGAAAATACCATACAGAGGGGTTACAATTACATGGGCAAAGTAACGAGTACATTTCTTATCAAGCACTGTTGCCTCCTCCTTTGTTTTCCCTTCCCATCCCTTCCCATCTCCCCCCCACACACCCAACCGATCTTTCCCCCACCAACCAAAGTTGTAAAGTTCGTTTTTCGACATAACAACTTGTACATCACATTGTTGCAATGGGTCCACATGTACCCCTATTTAAACGATTTGTTTTTTCCCTTCCCCTCCACAAATTATACCAAGATCAAATACAGTCAAAGCAGGAGTTATATTGTGGGGGAGGGACATACAAAGCAACGAAGAAATCATCTTATAAAAATATGTTAGAAACAATCACATGAAAGAAAAAAAAACATTTGAATACTTATCTTGGATTTCATTTCCCTACCATCAACTTATCTGACCTTTTCTGCTTGACTCAGACATATACTAGTTATTACAAATAAGGGAAACCATCAGACCTATGTTTCTTTGGGCTTTGCTTACTTCACTTATTATAATACTGTTTCTATGGCTGTTCCTAACTTACTCCTTTGGGATTCTCATCCCTTTTTTCAATGTTGTTGTGGCTTTTGAACTTAAGGCCTGGATGCTGTGGCTGAGGTTTTCTGCTCAAAGATAGCACTGAACTGCTTGATCCACAGTTTCACTGCTGGCTTTTGGTTGGTTAGTTGGAGCTAAGAGTCTCACAGAGGTTTGTGTGTGTGAGCTGGCATTGACCTGTAATCCTTACAGTTCAGTTTCCTGAATAGCTAGAATCACAGGTCTGAGTCACAAGTCCCGAGTGTATTCTCCCACTTTCAGTAATGTCCTTAATCAGGGCACATGGTATTGGGCTTCTTCTAACTTATCATAATGAACAGAGAAGTAGACAAGAAGTTGAACAGTTGAACAATTATATTTCATGGAAATTAAACTCAACTGTGTGCTCACTAGTGGCCAGTTATCCAAAGGCAGTGGTTTTCTAATCCATCATGTGTTCACAGCTAGAAGCAGTACACACTGGTCATTGAGATGATTACTGTCTGATGAAATCTATATAAACCAACACAGACCTATTTTTAGCAGGGTGTATATTTTTACTATATTCATCATGTGTTTCAATAAAAAAGTAGCCTGTCCATTTATTTAAAGGGAAGCATTTGAGGGTAAAAAAGAGAAAGAAACATTAGTCTTTTATATCCCCAAGATTCTCAATAACGCTTTTTAGTGCTATGACTAACCTTTTCTTCCTCTGATTAACAGAATTGGTCCCTAATTGTAGAGTGGACACTTGCTTCTCTAAAACACTGATTTTGTCTTCTTAATTCTCAGGTATCATTTGGTGTGCTGTTCAGTTTTGAGGATGTTGATTCCCATCACATTTCATAGATTAGGTTCAGCCTCACTAACTGAACTTTCAGAGAAAACATGTCCTAGGAGGCAATGCCATGTGGTTATCTATCCTCACGGGGCATATTACCTGTGCTTCCCTCATAGAGAGAACACTGTAACAAAGATTGTTGGATTTCAGTCTTTATTCACATCCAGGCCAAAGCATCTCTCCCTCTCTCTCTCTCTCTCTCTCTCTCTCTCTCTCTCTCTCAAATTCCAAGGGATTTCTAGGCTTTCATGTCATGAGCAGAGGAGGATGAGCAAACGTACATTTTTTTATTGTATCAGAGCCACATCTAGGAGACATATTTCCTTTTCTAGTTCTCACCCATTTCATACATTGTCACACTTTTCAGCCAAGTGTAAGTAAAAGTTTTCCAAATGGCCATCCAGTTTCTGCTCTTGTTTGGACATAGTAAGGAATAAACTCCATGTGGAGACACTCCTCACTTCACTCTAGCTTCACTGCCTGTGGTCTTTGTCCTAACTGCCCGGAGATGTCCTCTGCATACTGTGTGGCTCCAGTTCCTCATCCTCAGTCTTGGTCATGTTGCATTTCACCCCATTTGTTTGCCTGTTTGTGCCTCATTGTGTTTCGTTGAAAACACCATCACTTAGACACTAGAGAATCTGGAGGGAGATATAGGGATATTCACACGTATGGAATGGAGTAGACTAAAGTAAGTGTGAGCCCATGGTTTAGAGCACAACATAGTTTCTGAGGGACCACGGTTTCAGATAATAAAGATAGGAGATATCCTGCACTGAAAAGCTTAGAAAATGACTGGTGTTGAAAAGAATAATTGTTACAAAGCAAGAAATAGAACCAAGTTCTTTCCTTCATATGAGGTTGAAAATTTAAAAAAAAAAAATCTTATGAGAAATGACTTGGAGGGAGGCTTTGAGAAAGAACATTCAAAAGAGAAGAAAAGCAACCATTCATCAGGAGTGCACAGGGCAGCAATGCAAACACCATGGGCTGGTCTCTACATTGCAGATCATGATTTTTTTTTGCACTTGCTTTGTTTTAACATGGTATTTAAAAAAATTTAAATCCATCCTGCTACTTAGGTAGCTATCTAGATTTTCCTTCCTTGTATCCTTGCTTCCTTGCTTTAAACTATCTTAATTTTTTAATATTTTTTTCTACTTCCTTAACTCCATACATTCCTACCTATCTACTTCTACCTAGCCAACTACCTACCTATGATCAGGGTTATTGCTTATCAACTTCTGGGTAATGAAGATTATGATTAACTACAATTTGGGGTAGGGCAGAAAAACAAAAAACTCAGATATCTGGTGCCAAGGCAGCAGTCTTCTAAAATTATTTTCATTCTGATTTTTTTTCTGAGTGACTCACATGAAAAAGCTATTGCAAATATCCTAATATAGATCATGTTGAAATCAAAATATACTTTTTAATTTTTTTGGTTGGTCATGGGGCCTGAACTCTGGGCCTGGGCGCTGTCCCTCAGCTCTTTAGCTCAAGGCTAGCACTCTACCACTTGAGCCACAGTGCCACTTGAACCACAGTGCCACTTCCAGATTTTTCTGCTTCTGTGGTGCTGAGGATTCGAACCCAGGGCCTCATGCATGTGAGGTAAGCACTCTACCACTGAGCCACCTTCCCAACCCATAAAAATAAACTTTTTAAAAAACAGTAAAAGAGTCGTTCTGTCTTTGGAAAAAAATTTTCAAGGACAAATTTGTAATGTGCAGGTCTCATTGGGACACATGATAACATTAGTTCTGGGCTTTGACCTCAATTTCCACCACCTTGCATCTGTGCTGGCTCTGTTGCTTTGCCTAGCAGTTGGAGGATTTGCATGAGCCCAGAGCACAGCCCACTTGGCCTGAGAATTTCTTTAAGGCTGCTCAAATTCTGTGTATCAGTCAGTTCCAGTCAGCACATACCATGGACATGAGGGCCCCTGCCCAGCTCCTGGGGCTCCTGCTGCTCTTGCTCTCAGGTAAGGAAGGACAGCACTTCTTCCACCCTGTGGGAGAAGTCTAGGTCTAGAAGCCTGGGTCTTCATGGAAGTTCTCACAGTATAACTAATTGGGTGGATATTTGTCTTTTGTTTCCATTATCAGGTACCAATTGTGACATTCTGATGACCCAGTCTCCATCCTCTCTGTCTGCATCAGTAGGAGACAGAGTCTCCATCACCTGCAAGGCCAGTCAGGGTATTAGCGATAATTTACAATGGTATCAGCAGAAACTAGGAAAAGCTCCTACACTCTTGATTTACTGGGCATACAGATTGGAATCCGGTGTGCCATCCAGGTTCGGTGGGAGCCAATCTGGGACAGAGTTCACCCTCACAATCAGCAGCCTTCAGCCTGAAGACTTTGCAACTTATTGCTGTCAATAGAGTAATAGTTACCCTCCCACAGTGGTACAAGCCATAACATAAACCTCCAAGGGAAGCAGAAGTGACAGGCTGGGCTGCCCCCGCTGCTTCTCCTTGTGGTTTCAGCTGCTGACAGTGCTTTGCAGCAACAGCCAGGCGCAGAAGTTCAGTTGGGGATTTGGTCGAGGTGGTCAATTACAATCCTTTCAATCTTAACTGTATTTCTTCAATCTCAGACTCACAGTCATCATTCAGACAAGGCTTCTGTTGTCATAAAAAGAACACAGATCTGTACTTCAGCGTATCTGGAATACGGTATCCAGGGGATATGATTTCCACTTGGAAGGCCTCACAAGAGAGGCATTTGCCCTCCCTTTGTTCCTTTTACACTGTTGCACCCATTTGCTTAGTGAATTCCCTTCTAAGTCTGAGATTCAAGATTCAGCCTGACCTTGTCTTGACCCATCATGACTCCTCAGGTCCTTCTTTAAAATGAGGTTGTGCTGGGCATTGGTGGCTCATGCTTATAATCCTAGACACAGGAAGCTGAGATCTGAGGATCTGGTTCAAAGGCAGCCAGGCCAGAAAGCTCTGAGACACTTATCTTCATGTAAATACCAGAAGAACAGAAGGGTGGCTGTGACTTAATGTGCTAGAGTGCTAACCTTGAGCAAAAGAGCTCAGGGACAGTGCCCAGGCCCTGAGTTCAAGGCCTATGACTGACAACAATAGGGATTTTAGTAAAGTCCTGAGGACATTATTGCTCTGGATCTTTAGCAAAGACAGAGAGAGATGAACAATGAAATTATATAATATGCTGGAAAATTTAGGAACTGGATCATGTTGAGTGATATAAGTCAGGATTCCAAAGACAAATATTCCCTAGTTCCACTCATTTGTTGTATGTAGAATTAAATGATGATGATAATATAATAATTAAATAATAGTAAGAATAAAACATAGTAACAGTTCATGAAAGTAAAATGGGGAAAACGTCTAAAGAGAGATAGGTGAGGGAGTTAGTAAGGGACCAAAGGCACAAATAAATGAAAATAAATTAAGTTATATATATAATATGTATGCATATTTACATATATTTTTGAATAATGAAGTCAATTACATACTGTAAGAAAAATAGGAGGTGTTGGAGGGAAATGACAGTAGAAATAGAAAGAAGGTAGTGAAATTTTCCAAAGTACACTGAATTTAGGAATAGAATTACTAAAAATCACCTCATGCTATTAATATAAGCAAATTAAAATTAATCCTTAGGTACAAGAAATAAAATGGCATAATTTTGCATTAAAATACTGAGATTCTCTTGTATAATTGTTTGAGAAGATTACTTAACAAAACAAAACCAAAACTCCAAATGGAAATCTTGCCAGTTGCTATGTCACAAAGCTTCCACGAGATGCCAAAATCCACACAAGGAGAAAAAACTGAACCCTGATCTTAGAGACCTTGGGAAAGCAGGGGTGATGCTTCCCTTTTGTCCTTAGGAGCTTGAGCCTGGGGAACTCTATTCCAGGCTTTCATGGTACACATGGCAGCTAGGACCATGTATATGGAAGGGTCATGTCTCCCCGTGTACAGTTCCTATTTCATATTTCACTTTGAAAGTGTAATCACACAAGACAAGGCTGACACTTCCACCAGGATTCTTATAGTAAAATCATCAAGTACAGATCAGAAAGGTGAGGGAAGGAGGGCTGAAGACACACAGCCCTGAAGGGAACATGCACACACCATATCCAGTTGTGGGAGGTGAGAGGGGGCTGCACTGTCAATGCTATCCCCAGAGTCCTCTGCACTGAGCAGGTCACTGCTTGTGCTCAAAAGAACAGATTGGGTCCTGAACTTCATGATGCTCAGGCTAAGAGTGAGGAAGGGCCATTGTTCCCTAGAGTTCTTTTTCAGGATCAGAATTTGAAATGAGTTAGACAAAGAAAGTATGTTTATCCATGTGTTAATTTGATACATATGAACAATAGACATATTACTTTGGCATTCTTTCATTTGTGAAATGCTCCTATATGTTTTTTTTTAGTTGGTGGGTGGGTTTTTTTTTTTTTGGTTGGTTTTTGATGTTTGTATTTTTTTTGCCAGTCCTGGGGCTTGAACTCAGGATGTAGGTGTTGTCTCTGAGATCTTTGTGTTCAAGGCTAGCATTCTCCCACTTAAACCATAACATCATTTCCAGCTTTTTCTGGGTAATTTATTGGAGATTAATTTATTCCTGACCAGGGTGGATTCAAACCATGATCCTCAGATCTCAGCCTCCTGAGACACTAGGATTAGAGGAGTGAACTACCAGAGCCCCACTTCCTCTATGTTTGAATAAGGAATAGAATTAAGAATCTGTCCTTAGGGCCCTGCTGAATTTCCTCCTTTTTCAAGCCCCTCAGAAGCCAAGGGAAGAACCCTGGAGCATCCTTTCCAGTCTCAGCCCTGCTCTGAAGTCTAGGTCTCTTAGACTTTGACCTTGTCCCAGACCTCGCTTACTTTCATGCCCCAGATTATAAACACGTTCCTTTCCTGAAGCTCTTCCTTCTTTCAGTAAGATCCACAGAAAGTTCCTTTAGTCTCCCCCATCTCCCTGTCTTCAACTTCATCTCTCAGCCAGTAACTCCATCCCTCACAGCCCAGAGCAAGATCTCTGGTTGAAGGCCATTGTTTCACTCTTCCAAGTATTCCAGTACCTAAATCCTTTGCAGACTTGAAACTCATAAGACACATTTTCACAGTTGCTGAAGCCAGACCTGGAGTGTGGATCAAGAGAATTTATGTGTTATTGCTAGAGCCTGTCTGCTTTTAACTCCACACAGGTAGATGTCCTTTGTCATTCTATTAATAATTTGCCAGGTAGCCTTTATAACTTCACAGCAGCCAGATGACTTGTACTTGTTTTATTTAATACCAGCTTTGTTCTACAGTGCACAGTAGAGAGAGCAAATCTCTTCCAGCAAAGACAGTGACAGAGATTGAGAGGACCATATGAGAAAAATAGAAGTTAAATTTAAGAGGAATAAGGGGAAGAGTATAGCTTTCCTAGTAGGTTCATACATCATCATAAAAAGAGGGAAGAAGAACATTGTAAAATCCTTCTTGGAGCAGTTGTGTTAGCATGTGCTGCAGAGACCATTAACGTGTGAGAAGGAGAAGATAATCAAGTCAAGACTCAAATGCAGTTTACACACTAAATGGTAATGAAGAAGGCTCTGATTGGACAATGACTTATTTGTGGGCTCTGTGACTTGGAACAACTGTGTTATCTCCTTGCACCCACAAGCAGATGCTTCCATTTGTGATGCTAAGTTCCATGTGACTATTCTACTCCTTTGTCCTCAAATGTGACATCCTGCATATACAATGCAGTGTGTCACCACAAGCTGATCTCCATGTTGTGGGGCCCGGTAACTTAACTCTAATTCCACTTCCTATTGTCAGCTGTGCTTGATTCCTCATGCTGAAGATGTCCTCTCCAAACTGTGTGACTGCAGTTTGTCCTCACTCTGACCACAGAGCATTTTATTCCATCTGTGTCTGTTTGGATCAAATGGCCTAAATGCATTCACTAAAAAATGCTTTAGTACCAGGTACCACTGGCTTATCCCTGTAGTCCTAGCTACTCAAGAAGCTAAGATCTGCTCAAGGTAATTGGAAGTCAGCCTGGGCATGAAAATCTATGTGCTGCTTATCTCCAATTTACCACTAAAAAGCGGGAAGTGAAGCTGTGGCTCATGTTGTAGAAAACCAGCCTTGAACACAAAAGCTGAGGAAACTACCTAAAATCTGAGTTCAAACCTCAGGCCAAGCACAAAAAAATAGATCACTTACAACCTAAAATATATTGGTTATGAGAGATAATGCAGGGTTAAGGAGAACAGTGAACTTGAAGTAGAGTTCAGCCATTGGTTAAAGATATTAGATACACAGAGAGACAGTGGGGGGAGAGGGAGAGAGAGCACTTTCCAGTAATTAAGATAGAAGACACAAATGTCCTCCCAAAATTTAGTAAATGTCATATTAAACAGAAATGCATGACACTTACAAAGCTATATATGGAGCCACATGTATTCCTATATATAAGGAGGAAATACCTTTTATGGTCTGTCCTTGAGAGAGGCAATAAATCACAGCATTCAGAAGAGAAGGAAATGAGTCATTTGTATGGAGTGAACAGGGCACCAATACAAAGAGCAGAAGACACTCTATACATCTCAGATAAAAATAGTTTATTTCACATATAATACTTTTCAAGAGTTTTAACTCTCATGAAACTTTTTGAATTCTATATATTTCTCAATCTGGATAATAATGATAATTATTAACTATATAATGTGGTTCAGGGAATTAACTTGAATGCTCTAGAATCCTGTGTCACAAAATTCACAGATACAAAATGCAGGAAAAGTATAAAATTGACCTCCGTTAGGAATGTTTATGTCTCAGTGACTGGCTTACATTAACATAAACAGTAAAGAAAATACTAGCAAGTCTGGATCAATATGGGAATTAAAAACATTTATTTTTCTCACAGGACAACATATTCTGTTCACCATGGAGAAACACATTATGTGCAAGATAAACAGACATCTGTGGTCTTTAGGTCTGTACTTTGTCACTGAAGTCTGCCAGATTGCAGTTATGCCCAGCCCTACCCAACTCCTACTAATTTGCATGTGCCCAGAGCTCAGCCCACTGAACTGAGAACATCATAACAGGCTGCTCACACCCTGTGCAGGAGAAGGTTCCACTCAACACACAGCAAGGACATGAGGACTCCTGCTCAGATCCTGGGGCTCTACAGTTTTGGCTCCAAGGTAAAGAAGGACAATGCTGGGGATTATTCATCTCATGTTTGTGTGTGTGTGTGTGTGTGTGTGTGTGTGTGTGTGTGTGTGTGTGTGTGTGTGTGTGTGTTTTATTGGGAAAATACCATACAGAGAGGTTACAATTACATGGGCAAGGTAATGAGTACATTTCTTATCAAGCATTGTTGCCTCCTCCTTTGTTTTCCCTTTCCATCCCTTCCCAT